AACCCTGTGACTGCAGAGGTACTGGCACCAGAAGGACTTGGCTGAGCAACTTCCCATTGACCTCTGCTATTTCCTCATGGAGGAAATCTTGGCTTTTACTTCATTTTCTGGGATGTACGAGTGATACTGTGACCCTGGGGGAAACCCTGCAGGGACATTTATGGCCAGGCAACTCAGGTCTAAGGCTCTACGGAGCACCCTCCTTCAGCAAGGGGGTGGTTTGCAGACACCGGTGCCCCTTGCCCCAAGATCCCACAGAGAAAGGGGGGGCACCCAGCACTCACGTCTCCATCTCTCAGCTGCAAAACAATGTTGCTGATGGGGGGACACGGGAGTCACCCCCCCCCCAGCCATCCATCACTTGGGAGCGGGCAAAGGAGGGATAGGCAGTAAAATCCCTTTGCTCTTGCCTGCTAACGAGGGGATTACTGTGAACCAGCACCTGAGCATCATTAATCAGTGGAGAAGCCACATGGACACCTCACACCTCTCCTCCCATGCTCCTCTTGCCTGCCTCATCCTGCTGCAAGGACCAGTCCTCGTTACTTGGCACTGAATATTAATTAACCAGGGCCCTGCCTGGGGCATGGGGGTCCTGCTGGGAGAGGTGTGCTCATCCCCCCAGGGGTGTCAGCACAGAGGGACATCATCTCCCCGTGCCTCCTACATCTAGCACAGCATCATTAGCCACGTCAGGTGAACCATGTGCCGCCTGTCCACCTGCAACAGCCAGCATCTGCACCTCCACCGTGCCAGTGGACAGGCTCAGGGCCCAGCAGGCAAGTGTGGGCAAGGTGCTGCCCTCCCCTTGTCTGCTCAAGGTACCACCCCTCCAGCAACTCCTTCCACGCCTGACTGCCTGCACGTGGGCACAGTGGATGCCCAGGGGATGCTCTGCCCAGGAGGGAGCTTGACACGCTCGCTTGGAGGAGTCTTCGGGACCTGAGCCTCCACTGAAGGCAGCTGACCAGGCTGTAATGGCTGAAGCCCCCATTAGGGAGAAGACGAGCTCTGCTACAGCAAGCTGAGCTCTCTTAGAGTGAAGAATCTTCAGCTGTATACAGTAGATTTTCTTTAATGGACACATTACTTTAAACTAAGCCTTCACCATCTGTTCCAGTCCCTAATTATCAATACAAAAACAAACGTCTACTCACAATTACACTCGTAACGAGTAAAGATGCCAGCAATTAGAATGCACCAGCATCCTCACTGCCGAGCAGCGCATCCATCTGTGATGGCACTTGCGCGATCCAGGCAGGGAGGACTCGCTGCCGTCCCGGGCTCCCCGCACCCTCCTGAGCAAACGGGTGCGAGATGCAGGGTGGGCTGGCATCATTCAAGCAGCAGGGGGAAGATAAGTTATTTGGGGCAAGAGTAGCCAGGTGTGGAGCAGGGCAGCGCAGGATCCACTGCAGGAGCCTTCATTTCACACCAGCTGATGCCATCTTGCCAACCACCCTCCCCAACAGGATTTAAGCCTCTTCCAGAAAAACCTTTCTGAACTACCCAAAACAAAGTGGAACTTATTTCCTGAAATCCCCAGCCTGAAACCTGTATTTCAGACCTCCCTAGCATGGAGGGCTCCTGCCGATCATGCCGTGAAAAGGTGTGACTTCTCCCTGGCAGGGAGTGGGGTCTGGCTACAGACAGAGAGAGATGGAGGCAAGGAGGCCAACCCAACTTGATCGTGTTTTGACACTGTCATCTGGAAAGAAAGAGATAGGACAAATTTTCTGCTCAGGGAGGCCACAAAGAAACTTCTACGAGTGCTGCACTCCTCAATAGATGCCTCGGGTATATGGTCCCTCTCCCAAGGCAAGAAGCAGCAGCTCTCGCTCCTGCAAGAAGATAACAGCAGGAACCAGCCTAAGGCACTCGAAAGCAAATGCTTGGGCATATGCAAAGAGGCGCAGGCATGTCTAAGACAACCAAGAGGAAAAAGATAGAAATTAAGCAAAATAAGGAGAGAGGAGGCTTGATAACAACAGATGGGTAGAGGGAGATTTGGAAAGGATGCCAGCTGCTGGCAATAAGCCCCCTGAGATGCGTGGGGAGCAGAGAGGTGTGTGTCGACAGCTGAACCTTCGGAGGGAGAGGGGAGACGGGAGGGCAGCCGACAAGCAAGGGGCAGGGCACGCATGGCCATGCAGGGCTCAGGTCCAGGGTCTGGAGGGGCAGCAAATGCTCCATGGGTG